CTCCTACACTCATAATTCCTCAACCGACAACCAACACTAGCGATGATACTCCGAATGTATCTGAAAATAAACCTAAAACGACGCGTTCTGGAAGAAGAGTAAGATTTCCAGAACATTTAAACGACTACTGCACGTAAGGCACTACTTGACATCTTATATTTTCTCGATCTTTTAATTTTTTAAAAAAAAGACAATTTTAATATACTTATATATTTATATTTTTATTTAAAAAAACATAAACATTTTGTTAACGCTATTACGTGTGCTCGAGTTTATTTTCCATTTTTTCGCCAACATTGTGTTTTTACGCACATACGAGTGTATTTCGACATGCACTTACACTTTCTTTTTTCTTTTCCAGGACCACGTCTTAGGGTCGTCACTGCCCCACTAGGGGGGGGAGTGATGTGTAGCGGTAAATAAATCCCCAAAATAAATAGCTCTAAGTTTTCGACATTGGATGCTGACCATGTTTTAGTGGACTCATCTAACTGAAGGCGCTCGGTCAGGCATCCGCACCAGATCACGTGTGGTAACGCCGTGCTCAACATCTACCGCAACTGCTAGCCAGATTAGATCAGAGAATTCCGATATATTGGTAATCGCCAAATACACTCTTCCGATCTCCTCGACTCTGTCTTTTGATTTCTCTGGGTGGTAACGAATTATATTAGAAGGTGTTACTGGTAAAAGCGTTGTCAAACACTGAATACCTGTGACATCATCAAACCCATGTGGGCCTAAGTTCAGGTGCAAAACTAGCTGAAAGAAATGATACTTTTTGCACTACTTTTAGCGAAATCATTTTAGCTAAATTGAAAACAGTGACCTTGATATGTAATAAACGATCAGAACCCAGCGATGAAAAATACCACTGCCCTTTTATATAGCGCGAGCGAATTTTATCATAACAACAGTCTGAAGGTACTTCCATAAGCAATAAACTCATGACGATTTGGAACTGGACTTGATTTCAGCCACTATGTCTCACAGCCTCCGTTCTTCAAGTAGATAAAGTGATGCTAACGTAATGATGCACGATGTAGAACGAATTTTTGTTGATATTACGCTATCGCGACGACTCCTTAGTTGGGATAATTTCGAGACTTGCATATAAGAAATGTGTAAGGTGAAAGGACTTCTGTGAGCAGTAATTTTCCGTACGGCATGTACACACCAAGTACGTCATACCGTTATGTAAAAAGAACGAAGATTACCTAAGTCTAAAATGCCTTTAAGTTAGCTATGTTTGTAAACATGCGTGTAATTACAGTGCATAAGGACTGGATTCTTGACTTCAGAACATACACGGTGATAGTGATCAATATTTTTCCGAAGACCATACACTCAGTTCACTATCACGACCTAAACACAAAAGGTGACGTCACTCATCAAAATATTTTTCGTTTCAAACAAATTTACGATTTAGGTCTGAATATTGCGACTGCCGGACGGGATTTCGGGTCTGTGAAGTAAATGGTTGGCTAAACGTTATATCAATTAAAACCTTTCATAACAATCCTTGCGTATAATAATAAATTTTTGTCCATCCTTCGGGACGGCAACTGAACGATTGCATTTCAGACTATTGTTTTAGAGTAATACACCAACTCATAGCATTCGACATCTGATTTTTTGGAAGTTCCACCGGCGGCTTACAGGGAACAATGTTACTAGAATGGGGCTACAGTTTTATCCAGGTTGTTAAATTTAAACACTAATTTATTTATTCTAAACACAACATACCGACGGTATTTTGCAAGGTACTCAGTCAAGCATAGAAAATGAGAATATAATTATGATTTGCTTCGGTCATCGAGAACAAATAATTTTCAGAGGTGGTATTTTTTAATCGCTTATCACACCAGCAAGACTGAGCAGTCAGCAAACAATAACGACTTTATTTCAAAGCTCTCTACTATTCCAGCTAGTAGAATCTGATGTCCCAGAGAAAGGGAACATCGTTGTGTATGCTATGATATGTATAAATTATTTGCTGCAGTTTCGACGTACCGATATTCAGAAATGTTTGGGACCTTCTGTAATAATAAAGAGATCGAATATGAAAGCTTTACTTTTCATAATCTATTGTGTTTGGATTTACTCATAACTACAAGAACCTGGAAGCACATTTCCTACGGGTCCACGTATACATAATAGGTCACTGGATAGACTGTAAGTCAGTATGGGCTCCTTGTTATTACAAACACGTGCCAATCCTGGGCAACAACATTAATAATCGTGTGAAATTTGCTTATATACGCTTGAAATTACATCTCAGAAGAAACGATCCACATATATTGACATTCTGAAAGGTTTTCAGTAAAACAGAAGCTGCCCAATGACTGCAACTATAGGACGCATTAAACAGTCTTCTACGTTTCTTAAAGCTTGAGATCAGAAACGTAGTACAACGTACCATCAATACCAGATTCGAAACTGCCTTCGAGGTTAACGTTTAACCTGTAAATTACAAAAGACTTGGAGGAATGATAAATGAAGAAAAGGTGGAGAAGAAAAGGTAGATAGCTACACAGGTTGACACGAAAGCGACAGGATGTGATAGGTTGACACACCGAGTTCACTGTTTCTTTGTGAGCGTTTCACTTAGTAAATTTGCAGAATAGTTCAGAATGTGTGTAGGAACTAATATAAGTTTAACCCAAATGATGTGATTAATCTCGCCGTTACAGTGATCGTCTAATGGATATGTTAGTATGTTCAGTCAGCTTGATTTGTTTTGAACATTATCAAAGATGACTGGCATATGCTCAAAGTCATTTTGTTATAAGAGGAGCTGTTTCCCATATCACACATTATTTCGTAAACCTAAACAAATCAGGTCTCGATTACGTGGCTGGTATGCTGAACAGCTGGGTTAATATTATCATGATCAGATGACGCATATTTACCAACTACATATTTCCTGGTGGTGCTACTTCAGCAATCGCCTCTGCACTGCTTAGCTTTATTCTGTGTCGATCTTGTCACTGTCGATGTTTTCTCATAATCAGGAATGTGTCAGTAAAAAAGAGTCATGTAGATTGTGAAAGCGCAAGAATACAGGACTATTATTAAAATTTATGCCAGATAACTGAAGTGGAGAAGCACTACTACTACGCGGAGTGGTGATGAGAACTACGCCCCATAGATGTGTGAAAATGTTACCACATGAAGAGTAGCTACAATCACTGTAGTCGGGAAATTTGAACATTAAAATCAATGACCACATAGAATATTTACGGATGTAAGTCTGCGATGGGTTTGCTTTCCCATTAAGAATATATTTAATAATAGTCCACAGTCACTCGCTTTCAGGAGAGCATGGAAAGCGCACATTAACCAAAGGACTAAGATGAGATAGAGCAGATAATTGTTGAAAAATGGTAGTACATAATCATTGAGGAACAATTATGGTATAGTCCACGTGTTCTCAAATTACTTTAGCTATGTATGCATCGTATAGATGCCTTCCCATAAGCACACTGAACACTGTGATCATTAAAGAACTAGATGTTTTTGGTCTGCTAAACGAGCTTGATATAAGAAAATCTATAAAACCTAATGAAACGCATTCTAGATTGCTGAAGTATGTAGCAGATTTCATCGCTAATCCCTTGAGCACATACAGCTAGGATAGATTTCAAAGGACGGAAGGAATGCCACAATAAGTCGAAACAGGTATGAGACACAAACCTGAGGACTATCGTCCGTTGGCTTAACCAGCTTCGTTGCTGAAATTTCAGAAGGATTTGCTCACGTATCTAGACGAGAACCGGATTCTTTCTGAACAGTATCATGGCTTTAGAACAGACTACTCATTTCTCACTGACTTATTAGTGGCCCGCAAAAAATTGGTGCGCTCTTATAGATCTAAAGTTACCTGTAAATGTTGTAAGGCTTTTCACAAAGTTCCTCAAAACCGGCTGTTAAATAAGTTAATATCGTGATGTGAGGCAATCCATTGGAGTGGGTAAAAGACTTCCGAGTTGGGCGTCAACAAAATGTGTGGGTGAACATGGAGTTGTCTATCTGGGAAATTGTGTTTGGCGGAGTGCTCTAGGGTACAGTTTTGGTGCCAGTGTGGTTTCTTCCATGTGTAGATGACCGCCTTATTCCTGTATCGGCATTTGTTTTGTTATATGCTGATGATGCAAATATATAGAGATAAAAAGTGAATGTGACAGTTCACAGCCTCAAAATGACCTGAAGAAATTATCTGAATGGTCCAAAACTTGGTGGTTGGTAATAAATGCTACCAAGTCCATTGTAATGCAAATTGGTCACTAATTTACGGATACCTACACGGTGAATATCAGTGAGCCTCCTGTTATTCGGACACACAATGACTTCGGAGCCATTATTATTCATGACTTAAGAACTACTGCACTCCGCTATGTAATAACTGCCGAAGGCTTTAGAACTCTACGGTCAACACATAGGGCCTCTAGTCATGGCGATACTAAAACGTTTTTGACTTTATATACAGTATTCGTTCGTCCTAAACTCCAGTATTGTATACAGTCGGCTCGCCCCTCCCTGAAGCTAGACAATGAGCTGTTGGAAAATGTTCAGAGAACTGCAACTAAGATAATTCCCGGAATAACAAAGGTCCCATATGATGTTTGACTGGCTAAACTAAACCTATTTCTATTGTCACAGAGAAAAACCAGAGGTGACTTGATCACGGTTCCTAAATTACTTAGTGATAAATTTGCATCTGATATGCCATCACTGTTTGTCTGCCGATAAAGAAAATTTGTGATGACACCCTAAAAATATTCACTAACTCAGAACAAATTATTTGTCAGCTGACTACCGACTTTCCCATAGAATCAACGAGGGGAATTCATTACGATAACATATAATTGAAGCTCTGTCTGCTGACTCTTTCAAAAGAGAGTTGGATCGACCGAGTTATATAAATTGATAGGAGTAATATAGACCACCTAACCTTCTATCCCTACTAGACTGAAACTGAAACTGCATTCGGCAACCTTCAAGTACGTGCGTTATTGAAATCTTTATTTACATTAGAGATATTCAGTCCTGTAAAGTAGACAATTTCGATCCCTCAAAAACGATGAAATACCAAGACATGGTTATAAAGAGGAATAATATTGAATTTGAGAAGTTAGCGCAATGGAAAAGATATTCAAACTACTTAAACAACTCAACTGTGAGAACCGAGAAGGAAAAACGGTGGTCATCGAACAAGTACTTAATAAATAGGTAAACTAAGCTCTCTACGAGTTTACTTTTTACAAGTTCACAGGATTTTGTTGGAAAGAACAATGAGGATTCACAGGAAAGTTTGCAAGCTAGAAGAAACAAGCTACTTCAACTTCTGGAAAATGATGCAGAAAATGAAAAAGTAAAGCCGTTTATTCTCTAAGTGATCGTTTAGAATCTATTGAAAGCATATGGTGAATATTCCAAATCCAAGTCGGCCATGTTAATTCGGTCCACTGCACTAAAGAAAGAACGCGATTCAGAAAAGGAAAAGGTCATCTTCATTTTAGAAATATAATATTATCTAGATGGCTGAAACCTTGTTGATGGAACATTTCAAAAAAAACAATTCGGATGTGAGGGACATGTTGAGAGCGGCCGGCCAAAATGAAATTGCAGATCACTGGAATGACCAAATAAATGAGCGCAACAAAGTAAGTCAAAATTTAATTTTATGAGGTAAATAGATTTCTACACACTTTCATGCGGATTTATCAGTTTGATTACAAAGTACCTTGACGATTAAATGTGTCCCAAGTTTAGCATCTGTTTGTGGCCTGTTGATTAACCAAATAATTTCAAGTTTTGAGTGTTCGAGGACTCAGACTTTAAAGTTTTTCGAAATTCAGTTCATTTTTTAAGGCCTGGTATCTAATATTTCATGCCTTTGAACTAACTAAAATGTTTGAAACAACTAAGTATCAAAAAGTCAAATTAGCTGTAGAATGTATTGAGATATTTAGGTCATGAAGAACAGTTAAAAGGAAGATTATTTGTGTCATTAAAAACGTTATTGCTTCTTAAACTAGCCATTCTCTTTTTTTGGTGTAATCTTAACTAGAATATTTAGGCAACATATATGGGGAACGATTTGTGTCTATATATTTAGATAAAATTAATTAGCTTTTAGTATTTTCAGTGAGAATCATATCCTTCTCGTGAAAATACGTATGAAAATGCCTATACGATAATTAGAAGTATTCGAATTATTGTATGAACTAGGAGTTCCCGAAATAGTGCAATTAATAACAAGTAGAACTAGATGAGCATAAGTGAACTCATTATATTTGAAGTTCTTAATCAGCTGGCAATCAAGTACAAAATAAACGTTAGTTCGTACAAATACCACATTCTCCACAGCTTAAATGCAAATCCAATTATCTGTAAACGATTGTACTTCTTATGAGGTTCATCGTGTCTCTGTCCGACTATGTATTGGGTTTAGATTCTGCACGATCTAGAATGTAATTATTTGTATCGGAATTAACGGCCAAAACTGGAAAAGACTCACATGGTTCCCGGAATTGTATTTGATCAACATGTTGGTTGTGTTTAAAATTCGGACCATAGATTTTCCAACATTCTTCACCACAGTCGTCGTGGTTAGTCGAAGATCATTTCCAAGATAATGTGTAACTTCTGCACACTCTAATCACCTCATATCCGCAAAAAGAATCCCTTCAATAGCTTTGATGAAATATCTTTCGTTACAAAATGCTTAGAATTTTGATATTGCGGTAGAAATGCGTCTATTCCCTTCTCCAGTTCTTCATCTAACAAAGCAGCAATCAAAGTAGTAGCCGTTTTTATGCCCTAACGAAAGCTTCTGTCTGAGCACGAGAACAGTGGTGCCTGGAAGCAATGACTGTGTCTACTGCAAAATGAGAGCTATTATCAGTCACTAATACTATAAAAATCACCTCGCGACTAGATATATTTCTTAACTTTTGGATTGCGAATTCAAAATTTGATGAAATCATGATAAAAAGCTCAGGTCGTTTGGGAAAAGAATCAATGACCACGAGTGCATAGTATTTGACGAGAAATAAATCACAATAATCTGGATAGATTCTGTGCCAGGCCGCGAGTGATACTGACCATGGAGTCAACCTTGAACGACAAAGTTAATACTTGTGACATCGTCCACAATTTTTTGCCGTACGACATGTATCTACATTTGTCTCCGGCCATTAACATGTTAGTACTGCCAAGGTCTTCATTTTCTCAACACCCAAATGATCACTATAATGACGTTCAAGGACAGATTTACGTAATGAATAATAAATGACAACACGATCATTTAAATACAAAATACCATCAGGAGTAGTGGATAACTCATCCCGCTTTAAAAAATAGATAGGAAATCTAAGTTTCGAATTAGCACAAACAACTATGTCATATATCACTGAGTATACATTTGAAGTATCGACGAGTTCCACTAATGAGATCTGGACGTCCCACCGGCAGAGGTTACACTAATAAACAGTTTGCAGTATTAACAGGTTTATCTTGTAATGATTGTCGAGAGATGTAGTCAGAATTTTGGATTCGTTTAGTAATTCTGTGCTGAACCTTACAGTTACAGGCACTCAAAGCCATGCTCCATTTTTGAACCATAGCAAACGAGGAACGTGCTAATGATTTTTTGGAATGATAAATGAACTTTAGAACTCCATGGTCAGCAACAATAATGAATTTTCATCTGAATTAATACTTGTGGATTATTTTGACGGCTCAAAACACAGCTACTGTTTTTCGCTGCGTTTGTGAATAACCTTGTTTAGCAACAGTAAATTTGCATGAAACACAGATTACTGGTCTACCTTTCTGCTCCGAAATTGCACCAATACCCCAAAGTGATGCATCAGCAATAAGTGCGGAATGTACACTTGTGAAGTAAGTTCGAAGAACAGCATCACTTTTAAGAAAATTTAGTGGATTTCGTGAACATGACTTTTGTTCGTCACCCATTTAATGAATTGGATGTCAAAATATTAAATAAACAGTTAGCACGACAAGAAAAATTCGGAATAAAAATGGAGTAGTATTAAAGAGCACCCACTACTGAACGCAGTTCTGTAAGATATTTTGGAGATGGTGCACTTGTGATTGGAGCTAGATGTTTCATATCTGGCTTAAAAATGTAAACTTAGTATCCAAGGTATTCAAAACTGGATACACAAAATGGACACTTATTCGAGTTGACCGTAAACTTCCTTTCAGTTACACGACGTAATAAAGCAATGTCTCTGATCATGAGCTACCTTACCAGGATCATGAGTAATAGGATCATCTTGATAAACTTCAACGCCTTTAAGATCACTGACCGCATTTTTCATCACTTCCTGGAAAGTTGATGGGGTACAACTTGGACCAAATGGAGGAAAGTTGTATTTAGACATGCTAAAAAAGTGCTAATTTTTGTCGAAACAGATGAAGATTTATCTGAAGTGATTTGAGGATAGGCATCTTTCAAGTTGTTAGCGGGACATAGACTGGATTAAAACATGCTCAATGTACGATTGCTTTAGTGCACGCTGATTGGCTAATTCTTATCCAATCTGCACTACTCGATACTTGGAGAATACTCTAGAATCTTCTCATGTAAAAACTACGAATATACTAACGTTTTCCATATTGTGCTTCTTACTTGCTTCTTACTTCTATCTAACCTTGTTATCTGGAATATAATCTCTTTCCTGTTCAACCGTGTTCTGATTTGGGGACTTGTTGAGTGAATCGGTGTCCGAGAATACTAAGCAACAGGAATAGCTGGGGTCATAACCGTAAGAAAGAGATTATAACACAAGTCAACTTTCGAGAACACCTTGGAACCATGAAGTCGACTTTGAATATCTTCAGCTTCCCCTATCATGCACGTTTGCTTCAACAACCAGGAGTTCAGTGTTGATCTATAGTCACTACATATTCTAGGGGTCTTGTCATCCGACTTCAAGGGCGTAACAATAGGAGTGCCCCGTGCTAAAAACTGGATCGGTTCAAATATACGTCTCGTACACGAGTCGTTCAATGTTTTTATGCACTGTTTCTTGAAGATCATTAGGAATTATTCGTCATTTAGTAAAGACTGGATCACCCTGTACTTGTGTTTTATAAGCTGGATTCTCATGCCTCTACTGCACTTAGCACACTCAGCTAACAAATTTTCAAAAAAAGCATCAGAGATTATTTTATAAACTAATAAAGACAACCCCACTTTAGGCAGTTTCAAATTTTTGAACCCATTATTGACGGTCCTGTTTCACCAACTAAGAGCCCACAAGGCATATATGAATAATTATCATTTTATATTGGCAATTCGCAGCATTCTCGTTTGGGAAGTTTGTGTCCAGTAATCTCCAATACTGAGACTTCAGTGAGTCGTGCTACAATGTTAGAATCTAAAGATTTCAGGTTGCTGAATGAAATAATGGACTTTATACTGCCGATGTCCACAGTGAAGTCGTAAAATGAATTAAGGAAGGTATATGATCTCTTCTGAACATGAACATTACCTTTCGAAATGGTGGTTAAAGATAAATAACCATTAGAAACACTGAATTTAATAAAATCTGAACTGCATGGTTTATCTTCACTAGTGGCGAAACGTAAGTGGAATTTACCACAGGATAAACATTTGTCAAACCCGTGATCACCTTCATAACATGCTTTACAAATCTTTGTTGGATCACGTTTTATATTTCCACGAGAATAGGAACATTTATTGAACAAACGCGGGCTTGAGTTACTCTGAGAGTGTAGTTCATCACGACAACTAGGCAAAGTATTAGAAATTTCCACTGACTAAAAATCAAGCTCATTCACTGCCTCATAGTTAATACATGTTGTTTTAATTTTTGGAATGAACTTTTGAGTTACTGAATTAACTCCCTCTCTAAATTCAGAATATATATACTAGCAATTAACAGATTACGAAGTTGAATTTCCGATCGCTCTCTGAAATTGCACTTAGCGGCATGTTTCTGTAGTTTAAGTATAAAGTTTTTAACTTTCTGATCAATATATCGCATCATTTTATGAAACTTTGATCTCTCTGCACTCAAGGCTGGCACACTGCACATGACTGAGTAGTAACTCCTTCGGAGATTCATATGACAATGAAATTAGATTATCTGGAAGAGCCCGATTCTTTGGCAGTTTATTAGCTTCTTTGCTGATGAACGTCAGGAAATGAGCCATGAATTTATCATCTTTAATATATTTTCTAGTAATGAACCAGATTTTGAACTATTCCATATAGTCTTTGAAGTTGTCTCTTCTTGAATCAATATCCTACTGTCCAAGAGTTGACTCCATCGCGATACCAATATGAAAATTAGGAGTATTCGAATTACTGTATGAAATAGGAATTCCCGAAATAATGCAGATTAAGACGGGTAGAGCTAGATGAGCATAAGTGAACTTATTATATTTGGAGTTCGTAATCAGCTGGCAATCAAGTACAAACTAATCATTAGTTCGTTCAAGTACTACACTCTTTACATTCGGCTTTGAGAATGTCCATTTTTTTGAAGAGACTGTTGTCATTATGCTTCCCTGACACTTTTAAAAACCTTGGTTTTATCTTTGATCAATAATGGCTTTAACGTTAATGTCCCATCTTTAGTCCGAAAGTGAAAACATTAGGAAACGAAATTGGATGTAGTTTCTAGTGTTAAGATGAAAACCTATATAATACATGGGCTGAGGAAGAAATTAATATATAACTATCTCTTTAAATACCGAAATGCGATGTATATATAAACAGTTAATCAAATTAACTTAACGGCAATGAAGCTGATTTATTTATTTAAACACATAAACATAGGTACAAGAAAACACCAAATGGATATGCGTACACAAACCATTCGATTTGTGTGAGGACTTGGATATTGCCCGGGAGTCCGAACCAAATCAGGTGGTTCTCATATGGGGCTACACCCTGAGCCTTTGACCTAAATGTCAAATCCACAAGGCAGTGGATCAACGTCAGGAAATGCAGTCCCATGGTAAGTGGTAACCAATAATTGGTTCATACACTATTCGTTCCATCAGGATGCTGGAGCTCATGTGCACCATTTGGTTTGGAATGAGGGTTCTTCAACTCCCCTAAGTGGACCCTCCGTGTCCACCAACCGGTCTGAAGCGTCGAACATTCGCTTTCCGCCCGCTCAACTTAGTATACAACAGTAACGTCGTGAGAAGGTACAGAGTATGACTTCCCTGGCAATGGTTGTATGCACGTGATCATGTGAGAGCATTTGGAGGGGGAAAGTTGTCCTTCCTCACTCTCGGCCGTACCGTCAAAGAAACTGACTTTTAACAAAGATTGTTTGCTTATGTTTAAATAACCACGACTTTAGTCATCGTCTGAAAATACCCAGTTTGGTTAAATGGGTCGAGTTAGTTTGTTCAGTTATTTATTTCACACAAAACGAACGTTAATTAGTAGTGGAAGCCATTTGGAAAACTGTAGGCTTCATAACTAAACACTATAGTGTATCGCTTTTTGCAAACATATTTTTAGTGCTCTATTACTATTATTTAGTAATTCCTATTTTTGGCATTATGATGACATTTTTTCACTTTAATAATTATCAAATCACAGGATTTTCGTATACTCTACTTGTTAAGCACTGTAAATGGTATAGGTATCAATACTAAGGTTGGACTTGGTAATTTCAAATAAATTGAGCATTGGGTAATAATAAATATATTTTTTGTTATATCCCAATCAATAGAAAGACTGTATTTTTGACGTTTCATGAATTAATGTAAGGCACATCTTCAGGGTAAATAAACGACCGAAATTATTCTAAAGAAGTGGCTTACATTAATTTACGAAACGTCAGAAATACGATCTTTTTACTCATTAGGATATAACAAAAACATAATTATTACTGTAAATGGGACTTTCAAAAATCTCTTGACAATTATCTATCTTGTACATATGTGTCGTTATGCAATCTGCATTCCTTGATTATTCTGTGATTTCACATAAGATCAGTGTGTGGTTGATTACACCGAGATGACTTAAGTTATTTAAAATTGAATAAAACATTTAGTTATGATTATCAATTAATGTAACAGATGATACCAATCTGATTAAGTGTGAGGACGGTCGTTGGATGAACTCGAGGAAGCTGTAAGAAGCTCAGAAAGAGCCGAAGATATTCCATCCAATCATCTTTTGGAAGAATATTCTAGAATCTCTGCGTGTAGCTTCCCGATTGGACAATGCTAATAACCCTGTGTGTACGGATTAGGTAGCTATAATAATGATTTTGTTTTTACTAAAAAATATAAATACCTGACAGTTTTGTACTATAATTCGACACTGTCAGGAATAACATTCCATTCATCTAGTCTTCTGTCTTCTCATTGCCACTTGGAATGGTTCTAGCATTCTAGTGCCAAAGTTATACTCGGTATATCAAGAATATAAGTTCTAGATATAACATTTAGAAATCATGAACAGAACTTATACAGAATATCAAAAGGTCGTTCAACTACTAAACATTAAAAATGAAGGTGAAATTCTGTACAAATCGTAAAGATTAAAGCTTTTTTTAAAATATTAAATTATTATTTTATCTATTTTTATATTAAGTTAAAACATTCAGAAAACATTGGTCAGATTGTAAGTGACGAAATGCAGTCAGATATTAAAATGTATGAGGACAAACATAATGTAGAAATAGAATTGAAACGTCTGCAAGATAAAGAAAAACATTTGGAATATCTTCAAAAACAATTATGTGAATTAAACAATCGAGAAACTGAGGTGAGTCGACTAAAATCTATCTAAATTGGTATGATTTGAACATGGAATTCTAGTAAGGTTTTAGTTGATCATATTGTTTTTATCAGACTGATGTGAGTACTTTCCGATTGTTATGCGTTTCTATGGTGGCCCAAACTTTTTCATTGTTTGTCAGATAAAAATTCAAAGAGTATCAACATAGGTGTAAAGAATGATGAGAAATGAAACTCGATTTGAATAAGGGAAGCGAATCAGAGATGAAACATGCTACTCAGAATATTACTCGTTACGACTTTTTATAATAATGTGATCAAAGGAACAGGTAATGGATGAGATAATTTATTCTACATACATATATAAGCACACATAAAATCCACAAGTACAAAATCGAAAAGACGGGCACATAAGAGATACATGTGTTTAAAGTTAAAGTTATTTATAAAAAAAATAAATTCATGAGGATGATATCAGTCAGTCAGTCAGTCAGTCAGTAACAACGTAGAACTTCGTACGTACGTACATCAGTTCGAGTTGCCACACCACATTAGCACAGAGATGCACTTGTCGATTCAAATCCCGTAGTGGTAGAGGTAATAAGAGTATAAGCAGTAATCGGGAAGATGGAATCCTTAACGCCAAAGGAAACGAGGAAGACCAAAGAACATATTACGCAGAGGAAAGAAGACAGACATGAGGTGAATGAATAACAATTGGATAGAACTAGAAATGAAGGCTCAGGACAGAATGTGTTGGGGAATGCTGGTCGGCGGCCTATGCTTCATCGGGAGTAACAGGCGTAAGTAAGTAAGTAAGTAATTAAGATTTTTTATCATAACGCCTGTGCTAGATTATCATAGATTTTGGACAGATCCTGACAACTCAGACCGAAGTGTGGCTGAAGGCCAGTTGAACTGATCCCTAAAGTGTTCTGCCCATCGATCCAACCTCCTGGATTGAGAATGAATAATATGTCCATCTTTCTCTGAGATTGTTTCGCTAACGGTCGGGTTCCTAATTCCGGTTTCCTTAACGAGTCTAAACAATTGTCTGCTATTACCTATTGCCGCTGCCTTTTCCATCTCTCTTGCTTTCGCTACCCACCACTGTTCGCGATCATTGTGTAGACTTCTTGTCAGCTTGCGCTTAAGCTGACTCCGCTCTTCATTATGTTCAGAGCCAGGTGGAATGTGTTTCCGAGCATTTATCAGTGAGATAGATGCTGCTGAGATCCAGTGTTGCTCCCTAACCTTCTGGTTTACCTTACTAGCAGATATCACTGCTGTTTCCACAGCTTTTCGGATATCATTCCATGCTGCATCAGGGTGGGCATCACATACATGGCTGCCTAACTGTTTTCCTAGTTGTTCCTGAAATATACTCTTACCTTGACTATCATTAAGTAGGGCCCTAAGAGGTTTCATTGCAGGATCTTTCCTACGTCCAGTAAGACGCAAGCAAATACGACGACCTGGGAGCGTGACCGCAGAGCCCAAGGGACAACTGCTTGAGGCCGGTCGCGCACGGCCTTTTTGTGGAAGGTTTTTGACGTGTTAGCTCCGTTCTTCAAGGGGCCTTACCGCCGGAGACGGAAATCCGTGAGGTAAGGTGAGGTGTGCATTTTTAGGGTCGACCTTTTCTAACCCCACCCCTCCTTGTGGGAAGGCAGCATCGCTGTCATGCTGGTTGTCCGAGGAAAACACCTTACTGCTGTCACACCTCTCTACAGTCAGCAGTACGACTTCGCCCTCAGACCTTGAGTTGCTGCTTTTAGTCTTACCGTTCGCCAATCGACCTGCCTGGCATGGTAGAACCTGTAGGAACATATGTTCCAGCCAATATAGCTCGGTTGGGTCATCACGATAGGCAAGCCCGACCACAATTAGTGTTATTGAACTGATATAAACTAAAACTAGTGATTTGATTACTCATATAGAAATATGAGTACATATTACAGACAGTAGTGGTTTTGTCAAAATATCTTTTTTTTTACAAATCTTTACTTCGATGATGCATTCTTCACTTATCAATTAATATTCGTCTAAAAATGTTTGATACTGAATTATAGAATAACATCTTTCAAATTGACTACTTAATAAGTCTAAGTCTAGAGACTGATACTATAAGTTTATTATCTTTGTCTTAAAACTATTAACTGAGACTGTAATTTATAAACGACATTTGAGCGACGCTAAAGAGACCTTAAGAATGTCCACCTATGTACTACGGTTAATTGAGAGTTATAAACCATCATGAGGAATTAGGAATCAGATATAGGGTTTTCATCACAAACTGACATTAGCCAAAACTTTATTTAGCCAAATGTATGAGTGAATTTCGAACGAAAATCAGATTAGTTCGTTCATAAATTATTGTTTCACCAATTATTGATTTGATTACTTTGTTCTACCAAGCAACATGATAGGATATATATCTGTGAATTTGCAGCACATCTGCATTTCAACATTCAATGTATGTAGTATCAAGTATTTTCACATTCATGTAATGGATGAGTGCTAAAAATAAGCGTAAAGTTTTTTCTAAAAATCATTAATTTCATTATGTAAAGGTATCTAATGTATAAATACTCTATAAACACTGATCAATGATTGAACAAATTATCAGTATAAGGTTTTGGAGATTATTAAATATTTTTGATTGACATCATGAACCGATTGATGTTAGACTACCATTGAAAACATGGAAGTATTGGACGGTGGTCTAACATCAATCAGTTCATGATCTCGATAAAAAAAATAAAACGAATGAATCGGTTTTATGATATTTCAATCACTTAGCAATATCAGCTGGTTAGCTGGCATGATTTCTAAGTAATATTGATTTGTATGTGAAGCATAATTCATTTAGCTACAAGGTGAGCGCAATCAGTTCAAAATTAATTCAGATTGAGAATGAAATGATGTTTATAACCTGGTATATGACTTTTATGTTAGAATAATTCATGAGAAGTAGAACTTATCAAGTGATCCTAAATAACAGTGAGGAGATTCAAGTAAAATAACACCAAGTGAATTTAAACTTCACTCCATTGCACAAGCAAGTGGCTATCAGGATTCAGTAGCTAAGTGGATAACGCGATGACGTTTGAAGCGAACGGTACTGCATTCGAGTCCCAGAGCGAACATCAACTCTCTGAGATGTAGGTACATCCAGCTGTTGAGTCCCAAATAGGACGGAACGCACATCAAACTGGATTCTATTGCTAGCCGCTATCTATCTTTGCTTAAAAAGCTTGTAACTGTACTAAATTATATGTGTTTATTGAATTGACTGTTTTTTTGGAAGTTTTTCTATCAATAAATTACATAATTAATTTTAGGCAAAACGTCTAGTTGAAAAAGAGAAAGATTTAATTAAACAATTAGCTAAAATTGATCAACTTGAACATGAACGACGTATAATTGAAGAAAAATGTCAACGTGAGCTATATGGACGTGCTTTATTACATCAACATCAAACAGCATTACGTAGACGTTCATTATCTGTACAAAATGAACTAAAAGCTGATTTAGATTGGTTAAATCAATTAACAGAACAAGAAAATTTCGATTATGAAGCTGATATTGAAAGAAGACAAAAAGAAAAAGAAAATATTTTAGCAATACAAAAATTAGTTGAATATGAACTACAAAAAGAACAAATTAGAGAATTAGAATTGAATGAACTAGAAGTGTGAGTTGATATTTACAAAAGAAGTAATTATGGTTAGTTGATGGACACTTGAAAACAGTACTATGAAGAGTTGTTTCTTTTCTTGCTACCTTGACGTGGTGGTCAGGCTTGCCTATCGTGATAAACCAATCGAGCTGTACTGGCTGGAACAATCGTTCCTCAAGGTCCTACCATGTCAGACAGGTCAGTTGAAGAACGGTAAGACTAAAAGCAACAAACCCGAGGTCCGAAGGAGAAGTTGTACTGCTGACTGCTGGCAGTAAGGTGTTTCCTCCAGATAACCAGTATGACAGCGATGACACCTTTCCACAAGGAGGGGTGGGGTTAGAAAAGGTCGACCCTAAAAATGCACACCTCGCCTTATCCCACGGATATCCGTCTCCGGCGGTAAGGTCTCTACAAGTACGGAGCTAACACAAAAATTACTCTTAAGAAGGTCGTGTGTGACTGACCTCAAGCAGTTGTCGTTTGGGCACTGCGACCACGCTCTCAGGTCACTAAGACCACCTTTAATCCAATTTCCTTTTCAGGTACCTCCAGAAGAGTCCTTCCACGGTGTGAACAACCAAGTGATAACCGTCCTCATGTCTCTAACGGCACTTAATACCACTATTTCCTTTCATGTTTTCCTTTGAAATCTTTAGGGAAACTAGGTAACTCATTATGTCACTGAAGAAAAGGGAAGTTTAATGAAGAGAATTTCCCTCCCGATTATATCATACTGTATTTATTGTGGTTTGATAACCATATGAGTTTGATGTATTTTGGAATGAAATTATATCACGAAGTGTCTGGAGATTTCAAGTATTGAAAGACGGTTAAGTAGTGATCTAGAAGTTAGCGAAATATAGAAAGGTGAATATAATTAACGTTGCATGTAAAAAGCGAACATTTGTAGTAAGCCCATTCAACTGGTTTGTTATTTGTCCGCTCACTATAATTTAGACATTTGATCCACTATGTAAAGTTTTGTGTGAGTCTGATTGAGCTCATGTCTGCACATTAATCTTTATTTATTCTCTTATTGGTTGTAAACACAAACAATCAATAATTTATCCACAATTGATTAACACATAAATATACATGGATTTTTAACACTCACAAAAAAACATACTGGTTTCCTCGTCTGATTGCTATCTGCGCGCTAGCAGATTTTTACTGGTCATTAACAATAAACTATCTCCACAACTGGTGTTCGGGCTTTTGAATAGTCTCGAATAAATTCATGGTACTATCAGGAGCTTTAGCCTGCGTAAATATTCACACTGTTTATTGGGGTCAGATATAGAGAAAATTGACCTCTACACACTTTCTAAGTAGATCTCAGAACGTTAATTGGTGTAGATTTAAGAAAGAGAATGCAAAACAATTATCAACCGAATACAAATGCATTCTATAAATTCTAGTCACATCTCCCCACCAGAATCATCTTTGAAAATCATTAACACAGTAAAGCAAGTAGGATCAAATGAAGGTCAAATCAAAAACTCGTATATTTTGGTAATTCAACAACTCAAGCGTGAACTCTTTATATCAGAACAAAACGTGAAACCTGTATTACTTATGTAGCCTTTACACCTCCTTCCCTATGTTTTTCTTGTCGTTTTTGTCGTTGTATTTTACTTCCTAAATCAGTATTCAGTTATTTTTGCTCTCGCAATTTATTATAATAATAACTTCTAGATTATTACATAACCATCTTTCAATACTTGAAATTTCCGTACACTTTGTGATTGAATTTCATTCCGCTATACATCAGACTCATATGTTTATCAAATCACTATAAATATGATATGTTATAGTCGAGAAGATAATTTTCTTTGTCGGTAAAATGTTGTGGAGATTGTTGACTTTCACCAAAATCATGAATCAAGTTAGACTACCTTTTAAAATCTGGGAGCAGTGAACGCCTGATTCGTGTGTGTTAGGCGGTTACCCATCAAACATAATATGAGGTGGTTGCATAATGTCATGGATTGATTAAAATTAATACATCTAGGCTCAGTGGACTAAAGGTTAGATGTTCACACGTGAAACCGAAGGTTTTGGTCTCGGTTGCCGAAATCGCGAATACACATTACTGAAGAGTTCCGTGCAAGGAATAAACAGCCGCCCAGTGCTTTCAGGTTTTAAAAGGTAGTTTAACTTAAATCGATTCATGATTCTAATTAAACTTTTCTCTACTGAACTACTTCAAAACTTCAGGTTCATTGAAGACATTTTTAATAATAATCGAATACTGATCACTGGTATAATGGTTACAAAATATGATTTTCTACGCGACACACCAATTTTTTCAGCTAATTAGTAGAGGTTAATGATGATTATTTTTCAGAATTATACAGGTTCAGTTATATATATATATATATATATTATATATATATATATATATATCTTGACGCTTCATCAAAAATCATTAAGAAGTAGCTTCTATTGAATACCTCGGTTTAGCTAAATACAACCTTATCTACTGTTTGAATCGTAGAAAGTAATTGAACAAAGTAAAGCACTAATTACTCGTTAAACTCGAGGTTTTTAATCTCCAACTATCAGTTCTACATTATTTTTATAAGCATAGTAACTGAATAGTAAACTTTAACTTAATTATTTGTAGCTACTTTTAATCAAACGACTCTTTAAGTTAAGGTTAGTATTAATCAGACAACTGTTTTTCTTTTATTGAAAATTGATAATGATTTATCTAGCTATGAAGCATCAAAATTATGGGCTAAACGTGAAGAAGAATGGAGAAATGAAACAGCCATTAGACAAAAGCTTTTACATGAGGTAAGAAGAGTTCAGGATACTGTTTAGACTTAATGTTTAAGTTTACAGTTCAGCATCTATAATTTCAGCCTGTTCATTGTAAATTAAAAGATTTAAACTGTTTCAATAAATATATTTTTGTTATTTTATGCTTGAAGTTTCGCGACTTAATGTAAGCTACTTCTTCAGAGGAAATAAACTGATGTATGCGACCTACCAACCATCCCACAATTTCTCTCAGTTGATGTTTTCTCATCATTATTTAAACTGAATTCTAAGTGTTCGGTTAAACATCTCGAAGATGGTCAATATTAGTATAAGTTGATGGAGGTATGTAAATTATTTTAAAAAATGTACAGTCCTGGTCTTTATAACTGGCTAACTTTATCTCGACCCATGTCCACCTATATCTCCTTATTTATGTAGCTTTCTGACTGGTCCTCTCGATCTCCCACATTGTCCAAACATTTCATGTACCTATACTAATTGTTGCTCTGGTTGCTAGAAGAGACATCGGTTTCGTTACTTGCGAAGAATCTCGGCTTTTACTATGGTGCGTCATAATTCTTCTGAATGGATACCTTACAATTCTCAGAGCAGAATATAAACAGTTTAATTTGTTTGTTCTTGCTATCGTTTTTTAGCAAGGTTGTTTTCTAAGAGCTAGGGTTGCCGATCCCACGACCAGCTGTCTTCGTTTACCTAGGCTTGGGACTGGCAGTTACCTTAGAACAGCTACAGGCGGAGTTACGACCTATTCAGCTTATAAATTAACTAATTTAAGGTAAGTTTAAAAACGATGTCCTTAAATCAGTCAGCCACAAATAATGTAGGAAGTGGGATATACATGTATCGGTCTAAGTTGCTACGGCAAATCAACACAGCTAGATAAAACTATCAAGAAGAATGTCAAAGCATAAATATTAGTTGTATCATTGATAGTAAGAAGATTAATGGCTTGATTGCAGATTAAAGAATTGGTTCAAGGAATAAAAGTTATGAAATAATTTTAGAATTCAGGATCTAATGACAAATAACCAATGATTGTATTTGAACCATTGGTACTGATTATGAATTATATTATATATCATTAGTAGTATACATGTACAGATATAAAAATTTCATCAATAAATATTTATACCATCTTGTTGTCGGTTGTTTATCTGTCAAGTTAACCAAAACTAACTATGTATGATTTACTTTACTTACGCCTGTTACTCCTCATGGAGGAGCATAGGCCACTCACCAGCATTCCCCATCCAACCCTGTCCTGGGCAATCCTTTCCGGCTCCTTCCAGTTGTAATTCATCCTTTTCATATCTACTTCTATTATCCGACGTAATGTGTTCTTTGGCCTTCCTCTTTTCCGCTTCCCTTCAGGATTCCAAGTTAGGGCTTGCCTCGTGATGCAGTTTGATGATTTGCGTAATGTATGTCCTATCCATTTCCATCGTCTTTTCCTAATTTCTTCTTCAGCTGGAAGCTGGTTTGTTCTCTCCCACAAAAGGCTGTGGCTGATGGTATCCAAGCAATGGATGTTGAGTATCTTGCGTAGACAACCATTTATAAATACTTATACCTTCTTGATTGATGGTTGTAGTAGTTCTCCGAGTTTCAGTTCCGTACAGTAGAACTGTCTTGACGTTCGTGTTGAAGATTATGACTTTGATATTTGTTGGTAGTTGTTCTGAGTTCCATATGTTCTTCACTATATTCGATTAACTTACTAGAAATTTAAATAATATACAAAAAATATTAGTATAAGAGAATTTGTGACGATTGTGGAATGTCATAATTTAAACAACAAACTGATTTTATCTAGACTACTATTGAAAGCCAGGAGGTATTTTTCAGTATTTTCTATCTTAACATAGGACTCTTCCTGAAATACTGACTAATGAAGAGTCACATACTAGGGTAAAAAATCTGTCCAGTGATTCTTGCTTTTTAATCGTAATCTAGCTAAGTTCACTTCATGATTCGAAGTATGAAAATAAATATTAAAAAATTTTAGAGAGAAAATTGAGCGATTCCAATATTTTGTTACTATCGTAAGCATTCACCGAATTATTTATAAAACTACATGGATATTTTTAAGTATAGACGTGGTGTGAGCTACTTATATTCACATAAGTAGTATATAATGAGTGAGGAATAGAATGTATTTCAGTAGATCGAAAATGAAAGAAAGGAAATGGAAAGCAATTGATGTGAAAATGCGGGAACAATTAAATCTGAGATGATAGATTGAGACAATTGGTTGGTATTTGGCAAATGAATTATGGCTGTATGGCTCTCAGATTTTACTACGAAATACTGTAATTTTGTATTAAAATACATTTGGTTGTCTACCACTTGTGTTTCTGTTCACTATCTAGGGCCCATGTTTTTTCGAATTATGTAGAGACATTAGATTTCCAGATTGAATACTGCAAGATATTGACTGGAAACCGATCCAAGCTCATTCCCACAAGCATAAATAAACATGATAAGACTTCCTGATATAAATATGTAAACAATTTACTAATGTGATCCTTCATTTATTAATGACATTCTCCTAGTCGGATTTGAGAATCTTCCAGTCACTTGAGTTTCAGTTTTTTGTGATGTTGTAGGGTTTTATTTTATCATCGCTAATAAAGATTATTTAGAAATAATTGTCGTTTATATATAATTGGCACTGAGAAATTTCGTTCAGCATAAACCATGGGAAGATTCAAGTAAACAGTACCGAGTAAATTTATACTTCACCTCATTGCACTAGCAAGTGGCTTTCAGGACTCAGTAGCTAAGTGGATAACGCGATGACGTTTGAAGCGAGCGGTACTGGGTTCGAGTCCCAGAGCGAACATCAACTCTGAGATGTAGTTATACCCAGCTGATGAGTCACAAATAGGACGAAACGAGCATCAAACTGGATTCTGTTGCTAGCCGCTATCTATCTTTCTTCATAATAGCTGTGAATTAAGGCAATATCAAGGCAATACTTACAGTATGCACATATGCCAATAAGAGAGTGATCAATTCCAGTACTAAAACATCAATGGGAAGATTTAAGTAAACAATACCAAGTGAAATAAAGCACCTACATTTAACTATCGGTAATTTTGAAACAGTTGAATATAATGAGTAGAAAATGTTTAGCTAATAATGCAACAATTTGTAGAAGATAGCTTATAGTATTACTTTTTGGCAAAGCGGTTAAATATAATTCATTGATTTTGCTTATAATAAAGAATATCCTTAAAGCTAGAAACTACAAAAACTAGAATTCTTAGTAACCCGATTATATGACAATAAAAGTGTTATCTTATGGTTGACATTAACCTAGAGATTTCTACTTAACTATTGTAGTGAAAAAGAGTACAAGTGAAGACAATCCAATGAATTTGAAGACATAAATTACAGAACATATTAGTAAAATCTGAGAACCAAACAGTAAATATCTCATTTGCAAAATGTTAACCAATTGTCTCAAACGTGACTAATCCTTTTGCGAATACCAATCAATCATTTCAGACTTCATTGTTCCTGCATTTTCATACCAATTACTTTCTGTTCCCATTCTTTCCTCCTCGATCTTCTACTGCCAGACATTCTATTTCTGACTGTCGTTATATACTACTTATGACAATATAAGTAGCACGCACCATACTATTATTAATAACCAATATGGTCCAAAACTGTTTTTGACAACATTTATGAATTTGAATTTCTTTTTTTAATCTCTGAAAATTTAATGTTCACTTTGCATCAGATTTTCCTACCTGGTACCTATTTAGTTGCAGAGGAAATTGTTGTGACTTTACGCCCGGCTTGTTATCATGTGATTTATTCATCAATCAAAATACAACTTATTCAATCTTAGTACTGCACTAAATCAATATCGTTCAACTGGTATGAGCAGCCTAGCATCCTTATTGATCCTTTGTTTGCTTAACCCCGTCCAGTTGAGTCCAGAATACCAATAACAGATTCCAATATGCGAATCACATATTTCAAATATACTTGGTTTATATAGAAGCCAAATAGACCGCATCACTCCATAAAAAATAAGAAATGACATTTATACAAGGTCAAGACAAAAAGTGGCTGTGAACGTGGGAGACTGTAACTAATAAACTGAGTATGATTTAAGAACAGTAAATCGTACACTAATAATCTATAGGTCAAAATGAAGTTTATAATAAGAGGAATATAGATATACATAATCTAGTTACTGAATAGTTATACAATAAGAATATATAGATAATATTAGTCCACTAATAGTTCTGAAAAGCTACTCCTAATTTGATCTTTTCTAGTATATGACAGAAACGATTACAACTTAGAAATGTAATAACTATAATAGTGATGTATAAAGTTCTTTCTATGGATATCTCGAGATGGACTCAGCATTTTTTTGACTGCTGATCTGAGATGTATGAGAAATCTCAGAATAAAAGACTTTATGGTTAAAGACAGTATAAAATATAAATCCAGTCCTTAGTTGAATGAACTGAAGTAAAGCCTACTACAATAGAAACTGTTCAAATTTCATTGAGACACAAAAAGGGTTAAATTGTTTATTTTATAAAAGTTATTAATTTAGATGCTTACTGTTGAGGAATCCCATACTAGGATGAAATGACCGGCTTCCAGGTTTTCCATGATGGTTTAGCTTCAATTGACTCAGAAATTCAATTATTAAAGTTACTACAATCTCCACAAAACGCCTGTCTGATTATAATCTTCATACGCTCACTAGTGACTGTCTCCAAGAGGTATTTTCTGAAGTTCTAGTGAGAAGCAGTGACCAGTGGAGTTCAACTGGGTCTGTTGTCAGATAGTAACTCACTGATGACAGTGGTGGATGTGTCTCTCAATTTCGTGGATTAGTTGATATTAGACATTAACACCGTTAGATGTCGGCCAACTCAGTGGTCTGGTAGTTAAGCGTTCTTGCGTGGGACCGATAGGTTCTGAATTTGAATCTCGCGAGGCAGGATCATGGATGCGCACTGCTAAGGAGTCCCATACTAGGATCAAACAGCAATCCAGTGCTTCCAGATTTTCCATGGTGATCTAGCTTCAACTGACTCATGAATTCAATTATCAAATATTACTACAATCTCTACAAAATCTCCCACTTTGATTATTCATTCTTATCTTGAATATTTATTTCAATTTTTTTTTAGGTAATCGAAGATCGTCGTAAACAAATCTCAGATCAATTAACTGCAATTCAACAATTTCAACATGATGAATTAATTTCAAGAGAGGAATTATTAGAAAAAATTGAAAATATTAATCTCTATGATAAACTTGAAGAAGCAACACGTCATGATCAAGTGAATGAACAATGCTGTCAACTCAATAATCAATTGGCTGATAAAATTAAATCTAATCAATTCATTGAAAATGAATTAAAAGCTGATTTAGAAGCACAACAGAAAGCTGAATTAGCTTATGAAGTAATGTTAAGAAAAGAAGCGGAAAATTTACATTTAAAAGAGAAACAATTAAGAAATCTTACATTTTATAAGTCAAGTAATGGATATTCAACAACAACAACAAAAAAGTAAATAAAGTGATAGAATGTTATAACTTGTACCCTATGTGTCCTATGAATGTATAACATAATGATACCGCCAATTAGAGCGCAGTGAATTATCGACCGGACCAATGACACATAAAACCCATACGAGTCCTTATGGGTCCTTCTTCCTGCCTAGTCCTGCCTGGTTGTTGAGTCCCGAACACTAATCTCAGCCTCCACAATATGAATCATTTATTTCATACGTACTGGGTTTATATACCAACCAAACAGACCATATCCTACCAATAAAATAGGAAACAAAATTTGTACAAGATTTAGCCGAAAGTAGCTGTGAATATGGGAGATAGTAATTGACAGACTGGGGCATAACTCAAGAATGGTTAATCGTATAATAACAGTTCATAGATTAAAATAAAGCTTATGATAATAGGAACACGAATATACATAGTTTAGTTACTTAACAATCATATAAATATATATACTATTCCACAATAAGACGAAACGGCCGTCCAGTTCTTCAAGGTTTTCAATGATGGTCTAGCTCCAATCGGCTCATGATCTCAACTATTGAAAAGACGAAATATATTCAGTTATATTAATGTATTATATAACTACACACAGAGTAATGTTTAATATGGTAATCATGAAACACCTGAACTAATCAAAATGTAACTAAGATCGTTAAGATTTAAACGAAATATCAAATGATAACTATTGGAAGCAATTTATCGAAATTCATACCGCTGTTATTACATCTAAAGAAGCTAATAGTGATAAACTAGCCACTAATTATCTCGTTGTATTCGGGTACCATTTCTATCTTTTTGTTACTGACATCAAGTTCAATATTCAGTAATAGTTTAGCATATAACAGATCATTAGTTATCAAAGTTGATACTGCTGAACATCCGTTTAGACGATTGGATTTCGACTTTTATTACTAACAGTACCTTAAAAGCATGAATTCCACATCAACATTTTCTGAAAATACTTGGAGTAGAATTGGCGGTTATTTCTTTTATCATTTATTCGCAAATACAATGTTTCAACACCACTAAATATTGTGGTGGAGTTTAGCTCAGTTTCCTTAATTTCTTATAATTACTTAGATATATCGCTGTTAAAATAATCAAACTGTAGAATGTCTAAATCACTTCTTGTCAAGGTTGAGAATTGATACCGTAACCGCCTATTGATATGTGAAAAACAAGTAAAATAATATGAAAATTGCATAAAGTTCAATATCAATAAAATTCCTAGTCACTAAACCACTAATTTTAGTATTTATGTTCGAGTCTTTTATTGACATATGATCTGATTCCAATTAGATCATATGTTGATCGTTATTGAATGATTGTTATTGAAATATATATATGTCGCCTATCCTCGTATATAATTATCGATTTAAACCGCATTAGTGAATAACGGGATTAAATAAGTCAAATAAATGAAAGGATTTTTGAATATGTATATTTTGTACACTCATTGATCTGTACAGACAATCAGCGGGACGAAGAGAAATGACAAGCAGTGGAGATGGCGGGCGAGTCAATTCCATTTCATTAAGCGGTAATCAATATTTATAGTCACAAAAATAAACTATATACATGTGGGGTAAGTAGGATAAGATATATATACATATATATACATATATGCTCATATAAAAACAGTCAAAGTTGATAAGCGAATAGTTAACATGATAAAAACGTGACTCCAGAAGCTAAAATAAGGTATATGGGCTTAACATAGTAACCGACACTTTAGTCCATATACATAGTAAATATTATGTATAAATTGTATTTCAACTCCAATTGAAAACTTCTTCTTGTATTGTTTAACTTATGAAATGTAAAGTTTATTTCGTACTATTTTGAGTTCTACTTTGTTCTCTAGCTTAATTACTAAGTAAATTGTGATTCTCATCAGATATGAAAGGAACAATACTAGTGTGCAAATGAAAAATTTGGTGATGAAGCACACTGATCACGTTGAATAGTGTTACTGATTATAAATTAAAGATGTTTTCTAAGGGCAACATGAGTATTAAAGTAAGCAAGAGATATGACCAAATCTTATATTTAAAAAAACGAGGATAAAGTTATGGCTTAATGATTAAGAGGAGAGGAGGGAGAGGACAAACCAGCTTCCAGCTGAGGAGACGTTGGAAGTGGATAGGACACACATTGAGGGAATCATCAAACTGCATCACCGGGTGAACACTAATTTGGAATCCTAAAGGGAAACGGAAAAGTAGGAGGTCAAAGAACACACTGTGTCGGGAATTGGAAGCAGACACGAAAAGCATCAATAGCAACTGGAAAGGATTGCCCAGTACAGAGTTGGATGGAGAATGATGGTGAGAGGCCTATGCTACTCCATAAATAGTAACAGGTATAAGTAAGAAAATTCAGTATTCCTAAAATTTCTTTAACTTATAGGCTATCATTTCCCTAGACAACTTTATAGTGAATTTATTCTGCTGCTTTATTATCTTGAATGAAACTATCAATACAATCTTCATCATAAACAAATAATATTTAATTTTTCTGCACTTATTCCTCAGAACAATTTAAGGTGACTGTAATGGTATTTTACCCACAGGCCCACTAACAATTGAAGCGATCAGCATAGCCAATGGACAAATCAAGGACAGCAAGGAAGCAGGACCAGACAACATTCCAGCAAAGGCACTAAAAGCTGATGTAGCAGTAACTGCAAGGATATTCCACATTCTCTCCAGATTTGGGATGAAGGACAATTACCAACAGACTGGAAAGAAGGACTTCTGATCAAAATACCAAAAAAAGGTGATCTCATCAAGTGTGATAACTACGGAGACATCACTCTTCTATCAATACAAGGAAAAGTCTTCAACAGGGTATTGTTGAACGGAATGAAGGACTCTGTAGACGCCCGATTTCGAGACCGACAGGCAGGATTCCGTAAGGATAGATCGTGTACAGACGAATCATTGTGGAACAATCAATTGAATGGAATTCATCACTCTGCATCAACTTCGTTGACTACGAGAAAGCACTTGATAGTGTGAACAGGACAACGCCATGGAAGCTTCTTCGACGATACGGCGTGCCTGAGAAGATAGTCAATATCATACGGAATTCCTATGATGGATTAAACTGCAAAATCGTGCATGGAGGACAACTGACAGACTCGTTCGAGGTAAAAACCGGTATTAGGCAAGGCTGTTTACTCCCACCCTTTCTTTCTCCTGATGATCGACTGGATCATGAAGACATCAACATCTGGGGGAAGAATGGGATACAGTTGGTTGGTGGTCGTCGACAGGAGACCCTGGACCCGGGTTTCGGGCTACTTGGCACTCGTCAGCAAGACGTATCTGTGATCTTTAGGGACCTGGTGCTCCCTGATGGGTTCGATCCTTTGTCACCCAGCTTCACAATCAGAGACGTTACCACTGAGCTATCCGGTCCGCGACCGACTTCTTTTAGGACTGAGATGTAGTCACAATTGACTGATCACTGGGTGGTGACCGATGTCATGTATGTGAAGTCCTTATTAGTGCAGATCGAATGCTATCGACCATGTTGCAATGTAGCCACCAGTCTAGGTGACTTGACACTGCTAATGAGAAGTGGGAGACAAAAGAACACATTACTATGAAAAATGGGGACAGATATGAGAAGAATGAGCAAAAATTGGATAGAACTAGGAAGGAAGGCCCAAGACTATGGGTTGGAGAATGCTGGTCGGTGACCTATGCTTCATTGAGAGTAACAGACGTAAGTAAGTAATTAAGTAACACAATCAATGAACCACGTATATATTTATATTTCAGCAGGAAATATATCATACTATAGGTCCGGTAACGTTATATAAGATAGTCATCAAGACATAACGATTGATTTGCTTAGCTTCATCTTGTAAATATCTCTTTATGACTTGAGGTGATTGAAATTCTTCACAATGTCGATTCTTTAAGTTGTGTTCACTGTTCCATGGTTGTAATGTAATTGCTTTCTTCTCGTACAAATTTGATGCTTCAATTTCAAATACATCGTCTTTTAAAAACAAGAGGTTAGATAAGGCTCTAGCTTTAGAAGTTGAGAATATTCCTTCTTCTTCTTCTGAGTAAAGGTTTTCGTCTCGAACATCGTTTAGTGTTCCGTCAATTAAACATGGACATAAACATTGACAGAGCAAACGTCTTTTGTTATCCAAATCGACATTCCAGTCAGTCATTCTATCTATCTATCTATCTATCTATCTATCTATCTATATCGATTTTATGAGTTCAAAATAGATACATTTGTTTATTTTAATACTGTATTGACTGCCTATAACTAATGGGTTGCATACTTTGTATTAATGAATCTTAATGAATGGTTATATAATTGCAAAGGACGCTTTTTATGATATTGAATTATTTTAGGTTACATTGTGTACCGCGGGGTGGCTACTCTAATTACTACCGACTGACCAACTTCATATATCCCAGTACGACCCCAATACTGTTCCCCAATCTCCAATATATCAGAACATGAAGCGTAGATGAAATTGTTTATGGGGTCAGGAGAAGAATAAGAATAGGAATGATACCTTACAGACAAATGCATATTTATATAGTTAGGACTACCGTGAATATTGACCAACAGAAAAATGACACGTGAATTAAATATTGACCAGTAGGGAAACGACACCCTTTAACGTTCAAGGATAGTATTAGACTAAGTGCCATACACCATCTGATAAGGCAACCCCCAGAACCGTAAGCACATGCAACGTAGTTAATGACGAAGTTTTTGACCATCTAGCTTGTGCTGGGTCGGTTGGAGAGGAAGTAAACTTGTTTTCCGTTCGAAGAGACCAGTGCCATTATCAAAAGTTGATGAAGAATTAAACCACCTACAACTAGAAGGAGTTATCACACCTGCCCCTTATTCTGTTTGGGCTGCAACAACTGCGGTTATCCAGAAGGCAAATGGCACAACACACAGATCTCTACAGGCCGTAACACAACCCTTAAACATCATTACACACTATCAGTTCCCACAGATTTATTCACTAAGCTAAATGGTGGGAAGATCTACGCAAAGTTGAACCTTATTGACGCGTATTTACAAGTGGTGTCTAAAGAATAAAGAGACCTACCAATAGCGATTTGTTTTAGTATAACCGTCTACCACTTGAGGGTTGAGACCGTCCCATCTATTTTCTAACAATTAATGGGTGCCATCCGATCGAGTATCCTGGGGATTATTCCCTTGGATCCTATCTCCCTCTATCGTTTCCTAAGTCTGTAGAGGAAAATAGAGTGTATGGTCGAGTCTAAAAGTCTTCAAAAATTTCCAGGCACTTCTTAGCAAATAAAACATCCTTTGTAAGCGGGTTCATGGAAAAGAAAACAATATCACGAAGCATCAAAATTTTATACATAATTAATCTCTGGAAGTGTGTATGTAACTTAAACAAACGACATAGATGTAGATTATCCATCTCCATCCGCTGAACTAATGACTGTTTGAGCATTAGTTCAAAGTCGATTCGCTTGTTATACACAATCTTCAGAAGCGGAATCGAGCTCATATTACCGAACGGAGACATAAAGTAGTTTTTGGCTATCACTTTAGATATTCTGAGCTGTATACAAACTTATTTCCGCTTTTTGTCATATATGATATTCGATTGTTGCGCAAAAGACTAAAAGTTCCGATAGGTTCTTTTCAATACTACTACAACTTTACCAACAACAAAAAAAAAACACAAACATAATAGTCGGAACTAAGATGTTTTACAATTCAGTTGTCGAGTAAATATAATGTACATTCATATACACAGTGAGAGTACAAGAGAACTGAACAAACATCATATATATATGAACAGAACAATAAAAACGACTATCTTTTAAATGCGTTTCACTTTCTCATGACATAACTCAAACAAGGTTATAACAAATTCATAAAACAAATATAAAACAATTAAACACACTATATACAATAATGGTGAACTTATACCGGATAAAAAATAGCTAAATATATACAAGAAAATAATTCGTAATAAAACATAATAATTTGCCAAAAAACGAAAAGATAATCGGGGATTATTCGTTATTAAAAAACTCTGCGATTCATGTTGTTTGGGATATGATGATGGAAGTAATAATTGACGTGCAAATCTTCCTCGAATACCTGACAATGAACACCAGCGAATAAAGTGTTGTTTCATCTGGAAAAAAAGAGAGGAAATACAGAATAACAAAACCACTAGACTATAAATTCATGGACAAACTTTGAACGAATCTCAAGTGATCTTGATAAATACTAGCCAATCAGCAAACAGTCAATATAGAGTAAAAATATATTACACAAAATCAAAGAAATAAAATGGATACACTACTTTTACATGGTTCAAAAACTTGTCAATGTTAAGAAGAGGTTCAGAGGTTCTAAAATAGTAATGCATGCAGTAGAGGAAATCATCCATATGGCTACAGAATAGTCGGCCTCTGGAGCCATGATAAAGTCTGAAAAACTCTTTCAGCATCGACCATATAGCTTCAATATTGTTTGTGAGCTCCCAGGTTGTTGAGTACACAAAATGCTACTTGTGGATAACGACACGATGCACATAACCAAGCCTATGTATGAGGCTGTATTCTCTCCAATCATCCGTATATAATGTAGTGCCTGTATGCAGCGTATACACAAGGCTACATGGATCTCACCGGACCACACTACAGAGAACCAGATAGATCATATTTGCATCAACAAAAAATTCCGAAGGACAATGGAAGATGTGAAAACCAGGAGAGGTGCTGACATAGCTTCAGATCACCACCTAGTTGTAGCCAATTTAAAACTGAAGCTGAAAAAGAACTGGACAACTG